GAGGAGCTCTACAGGCGTACGACTCAGCGGAACGAACAGGGAAAATACGTTGTTTCACTTCCTTTCAAAGGGGGATTCCCCACCGACGTCGCCTTAGGGCCTTCTTTAAAAATTGCCTGTTCACAATTCGACAGAAATAAAACGCGTTTGGCGAAAAATCCTGATTTTCAAAAAGAGTATAATCGTGTTGTGATGGAGTATGAAACAATGGGCCACATGTCGAAATTAAAAGGAATGCAGTCAGCGGATGCAGCCGATAATTACTACCTACCTCACCATGCCGTCATCAAAGAAGAAAGTACAACAACAAAGGTTCGAGTAGTTTTTAATGCCTCGTCTCCAACCGCTAACGGCACCAGTCTGAACGATGTCCTCCTTCCAGGGCCAGTGCTTCAGTCTGATTTGACAATATTAATACTTCGCTGGAGAATGTATAAATACGTCTTCAATAGCGATATTGAGAAGATGTATCGTCAAATTCTTGTAAATCCCGACCATACGAAATATCAGCGAATAGTTTTCCGTTCTTGCCCGAACGATGCAATCAGTCTTTATCGGCATAAATTGTGCTCCTTATCTCGCGAATATTTTGCGGAAATGTANACATTGCTACAGCTAGCTGATGACTCAGAAAGCTCTTTTCCAATCGCATCGAATATTTTGCGGAAATATATGTATGTAGATGATGTTCTCGCTGGGGGACATACTATCGACTCTGCGATAAGAGCTAGGGATGAAGTTTCGAATGTTTTACAATCAGCCGGTTTCCCTTTGCGAAAGTGAACCGCTAATTGTAGTAAAATTCTTGAAGATATACAAAAATCACATCTTTTACATGAAGACTTTTTAGAGTTTGATGATACGAGCAGTGCAAAAGCCCTTGGAATAAGATGGAATGCTCGTGCTGACCACTTCTATTTTACAACCAAACCGATTGAAAATCACGAAAACGTCACCAAGAGAGAAATTCTTTCCGCCATCGCCAAACTTTTTGATCCACTAGGATGGTGTTATGTTTGGTGTTTGATTCATTTCACCTTTTGGTATTTTTGTTCAATTTTTGGCTTTAAGCGAGCCACGCTAAAAGGGTGATGGCCTCAAGGCCTATTTTTATTGGTGAGACAAGTTAGAACAAAACGAGGCAATGCTGCCGATTCTTGATTCAAAACAAGTCTGTTTATTTCAGTGCACAAACACTGCTTTTATAGTAAATTTTACATTTCTCCTTAAATCTAAGACACTCCCACTTTTCAGTTACTTTCCAACATTTTCATATTGTGACCAATCATAATTTATTTTATTTTGTAGTCTTGTATTTTCTAAATGTTCTTGTAGTAACGTCTCATTGCTTTAATTATCGTCGCAAAAATATTAATGCAGAGCATCTGGCTAGAAGGCACCGACTGAGACGAAACAGTGTCTTCTACCACAATGGAGCGATGGCAATCGTTCGTGCAAGGTTACAAGGAAATCGATAAAATACGGATACCCCGATGGGTATATTTCCCCAGTATAACGGGTTCTGTGCCAACACTGCAAGTTTATTTACGCGTAGAGAGAGAAGACCAGGTATTCATCAGCTTGCTTCTGGCCAAAACTAGAGTAGCACCAGTGAAAACCATTTCCTTACCTCGTTTGGAACTTTGTGGTGCCGTATTGCTGGCAGAGACCGTTGAATCAGTCGTAAATAATCTTGATTTTGGCCATATAAACTTACATCTGTGGACTGATTCAACCATCGTTCTGGCTTGGATACGCAAACCACCGTGTTCATGGTCAACATTTGTGGCCCATAGAATCACAAAAATAATCGACAAGGTAGGAATTAAAAACTGGAGCCATGTGGAGTCATCTACGAATCAGACCTGGCAAGTAGGGGTGTACTAGCTCACGAATTGCTCACGAACTCTTTGTGGTGGCAGGGGCCTCTTGGCTTCAAGAAGATAAAGAAAAGTGGCCAGCGCAGGATTCCGACTATAACACAAACATGGAAGAAAAAAGGGTGCACGTTCATGCAGCTACGACAACTGAAAACATTAGCGACATTCTTGAACGATTTTCTAGCTTGCCTAGAGCTTTGAGAGTAATATCATACATGTTGAGGTTCTCTCAAAGATCCCACCCGGAAACCAAAGCTTCATTTAAGCCGACATCTTGCTTAATTTCAGCCAGTGAAATTAAGGCAATGACAACACGGCTAATAATCATATCGCAGAAGCAACACTACGGAGCGGAAATCGCGAGATTAAAATCTGGAGGATTAATCGATGCCAAAAGTGAAATATTGCCGCTAAATCCATTCATTGGCACCGATGGTGTATTAAGAACAGGCGGAGGTCTTGGCGCATCCCTCGATCTGGCANCAAAAGTGAAATATTGCCGCTAAATCCATTCATTGGCACCGATGGTGTATTAAGAACAGGCGGACGTCTTGGCGCATCCCTCGATCGGGCATACACGAACGTCATCCAGTCATCCTTCCTTACAATTGTAGGTTATCCCGTTTAATTGTCCAGTTCGTCCACGACATTTCATTGCACGGTGAAAATCAACTAATGTTGCGCCTCATTAGAACGAAATATTGGATTCCGAGGGTAAAAACGATGATTAGGTCCATTATATTTAACTGTAAGATCTGCATGATCTACAAAAAACGTTCACAAAATCAGCTGATGGGAATTCTTCCGCAAGAAAGAACGACTTTCTCTCGCGCCTTTACTAACACGGGGGTAGATTTCACAGGGCCATTTGATATAAAAAGCTATCGGGGACGCGGTTGCCGTGTCTCTAAAGGATACGTTTGCCTATTTGTCTGCTTTGCTACTAAGGCCATCCATTTGGAGGCGACAACCGACTTGACTACAGCTTCATTTTTAGCAGCGTTCTCTAGATTCGTCGCCAGACGAGGATGCCCAAGAAACGTGTATTCAGACAACGGGACAAACTTTGTTGGAGCGTCACGGACACTTAAAGCCGAATTCAAGGCGTTCTTAGCTGATGCCCGCCCCAACGCTGTATCAAAATACGTTCATCAGGCAATGTCTTGGCATTTTATACCGCCTGGAGCTCCACATATGGGTGGTCTGTGGGAGGCGGGTGTCAAGAGCTTCAAGAACCACTTTAAGAAGATAGCATCTGGAAACAAGTATACCATCGAGGAACTTAGTACACTCTTATGTCGAATTGAAGCTTGTCTCAACTCGCGACCGTTGAGCCCAGCTTCAAACGAACCAACTGACTTAGAGCCCCTCACTCCGGGTCACTTCTTAATCATCGGACATCTGTTTGCCCCAGCAGAAATAGATGTTAACGAAAACCCTACATCTATAGTTAATCGATGGCAGAAACTAAAGGCATTGCATCAGATTTTCTGCAAAAGGTGGAAGACAGAATATCTTACCGAAATCCAAAAACGAAATAAATGGAAGCACCCTCAATCCAACATAAAAGTAGGAGATCTCATTGTTATAAAGGAGGAAAACTTGCCGCCTAACGAGTGGAGATTAGGAAGAGTGGTAAATCTGCACCCAGGTTCGGACAACCGGGTGCGCGTAGTAGATATTGTAACCGAAAGGGGTCAGGTGACGAGACCACTTGTTAAGCTGGTACTGCTACCACCTTATACCGACGAAACCGCTGAACCAACAAGACTGACCTAAGCCAAATCTTCCGCTTTCGAATTCCACTCCTGTTCCATAAACATTCCACTTCTCATACCAAACATATTTTTGTGCGAATAGAGTAGTAGGGGTAGGAAGACACAAATCCAAAGGTAAAATACTCCCAATAAACATTAAAAAATAGGGGCATCCCTTTGAATAAGGAAACTAGATTTAAACATTTTGGTTCCGAGCTTACACTTGGCTTGAATTTTATGGTATTGTTTCCGTACTGCATACGTCGCTTAAATTTACGCAATTTATCTAAACGAATTACCATATAAAATTTAGCAGATGGTTTACGTGGCCGCACGAGGTTTCGCCTTTGGTTACCAGGCGTTTACGCGCTTAGATAAATACCTGGAATTTATCTACGAGTGTAGATACTGGCTATATGTTCTTAAAAATTCCTGACTAAAACTCACCTGTGTAACTCCGACTGCGCTTAGTCCATGTGGGGGGATTCGATGGCGATGACGATGAGCAGCTGACAACAACCAATAACTAGGAGTAATGGATCCATCTTAGTACGCTTTCCACAGGGTTTACCTCAGCAGTGCTCGTTCAAAGCAAACGAACTTTGACCTTCTAATGCTCTCGATTCAACAATAATGTGTGGTCAACTTCCACCACATCCATGTTAACGTTCACGGCATGTCACAAATTGCACTTAGATATATACGCCCATATGTACTTTAGTATATTATTATATACTGCCCACCAACTTCATCGACCAATTAAGTCAATTGAATCACGACTCCTAAACACAGCACCAGCTTTATGTAAATCTTGGGCTTTGTCGGATTCAACAAGCGCAAAGGCTTCACAACCGGCATCACAAACACTAACGCTTGGCGAGATCAGCTCTTAGCACTTTTATAGTATGAAAATGTGCCAAGGTGGCTATGATTTCGTAAATAGTTTTGGATGTCACAACTTCGGATATGTGGCAGCACACCTGCAGCGTGCGGTAACACTATAAATGCCTCAAGCACAAATGCAACTATGCGTCAGATAAATACAGAAAATTATAATCTGGCATGACTATCCGCCTTTCTGTCTCTTTTTCGTACGGATTTCGTGCTGCTAAGTCGTGCTTGCCTAGACACTAATAAAAATACTTAATATTAATAGATTGAACAAATCCTTAGTTAGCTTTTAAACCAAAAATAAAGTTTTGCACATCTTTCTATATCCGGNTCTATATCCGTTTTTTCTTCCTTGCGAGTTTGAGAGGGATACTCTATTAAAACCTCCAAAGTGGTGACCCCGACGTGATCTCGCACTCGGGCAAGCGCGACAAGCACGTGTAAGCACATAACCAAACTTAAGGGTAAGACAATGCCGATCGAAATGAAAGACGGTGGGTTGCCTGGAGGCGCAGCCGAGGCAGGTTCACCGGCCGCGGCAACGGTCCCGCCCGCTAATACCATCGCGGTAGTCTATGCCAGGCTACCAATACCGCCAATGAGCAGCACAAATATTGAGGCCTGGTTTACTTCAATGGATTTTTGGTTTGCTGCTTCAGGCATCACGGCCGAGAAGCAAAAAACGGCAACTGTTTTGGCAGCGCTGGACCCAAACGTCCTCGCTCAACTGGGGGATGTCATTGCATCGCTACCTCAAAACGACAGGTTCGAGTATGTGAGGCAAAGAATTATCGAGCACTTCGCCGATAGCGAACAGCGACGCCTCAACCGCGTACTCTCAGAATTGCCACTGGGGGATAAGAAACCGTCAGAACTATTCTTTGAAATAAAGCGCGTCGCTGGCAACACACTCGGCGATACGGCGCTCAAAAGCCTCTGGATCAAACGTTTACCGGAGTTCGCACAAGCAGTTGTAGCAGCTTCATCCGGTTCTGCGACCGAATTTACGAAAACAGCCGACACTATAGTGGATGCTATCGCGCCGCTTCAAGTGAACCGCGTTAAGTCGACACCGCAAAATGAAGTCAACGAACTACGTGCATTCGTAATGGAACTAGACAAAAAGCTTGAAAAATTCGCTATTCGTTCGCGCTCGCGCAATCGTGGGCGGTCAAGCTCACGACCAAGAGCAAATGCCCGAAACAACTCGCAAACAACAGCAAATTCGCAAGAAACGTCATCTGTCGCAGCCCAAGACTGTTGGTACCACCAGAAATATGGGTCCGATGCTCGGAAATGCCGTACACCGTGCCGCCGCAGAAACCACGTGGTTCGAGCGGTAGACTCCGCATCTGATGCATTGTGACTACGGAAGCGAGTGGCGGATGATAGCGAAGGGTCCGTCACAGAGCGCAAAGTTCTTCGCCTACAAGTGCACGAACGACGCACAGGTAAAATGTTCCTTGTCGATACCGGCGCCGACGTGTCAGTCCTGCCCATCTCTGCCAGATCTCACGATATGCGACCCACCACGACTAAACTGTACGCCGCAAATGGATCTACCATCAAGACCATCGGAGAAAAAAGAATCAACCTGGATCTCGGGCTTCGTCGAGATTTCCCGTGGTCGTTCATAATCGCCGAGGTTACAACACCGATAATCGGCGCAGACTTCGTTCGTTTCTACGATCTTCTCATCGATTTGCGCCGAAACCAACTGATCGACAATCTCACCAAACTGCGATCTTCACTAACCGCGCCAACGTTTTCCAAGGTAACCCAAATTAAGGTATTCAACACAAGCGACCCCTATGCTGAATTGTTGGGCGAGTTTGCGGATATCACGAAGTTGGCACCTTGTGGTTCTTCGACCAAATCCACGGTAGTTCACCGCATAGTGACCTCGGGTCAACCGGTGTTTGCTCGTCCGCGACGCCTGTCGCCCGATATGTTGACCGCAGCACGAAACGAATTTAATTTTTTAATAAAGTCCGGCATCTGTCGTCCGTCTAGCAGCAACTGGGCAAGCCCGTTGCACATGGTGCGGAAAGGCGACGGATCCTGGAGACCATGCGGCGATTATCGTGCGCTTAATGCGCAAACTGTACCCGACCGATATCCGCTCCCATATTTATCGGACTTTACATGCAACCTACAAGGTAAGATCATTTTCTCAAAGATCGATCTCCAACGTGCTTTTCACCAAGTGCCGATCCACGACGATGATGTTGCAAAAACAGCCATAACGACGCCATTCGGGTTGTTCGAATTTCGGTTCATGACCTTTGGGTTATGTAACGCCGCGCAAACCTTTCAAAGGCTGACAAACGAGGTTTTGCGTGGGCTAGACTGCGCTTTCCCTTACATCGACGACATTTGTATCGCGTCGTCGTCAGCGCAACAGCACCGTCGAGACATACACGCAGTCCTTCAACGTCTGCGAGACAACAATCTCGCAATTAATGTGTCCAAATGCGAATTTGGCAAAAGCGTGCTGAGATTTCTCGGCCACTTAGTTGACGCCCGAGGAATTCGTCCTTTACCCGAAAGGATCACGGCGATCCGCGATTTCCCGAAACCCACGATAGCCAAGGAGTTAGAGAGTTTCATCGCAATGGTAAATTTTTACCGCAAATTCCTGCCAAACGCCATCGCCTATCAATCGCATTTGCTACGGCTGATTACGGGCAACAGGAAAAATGATCGTACGCGACTCGTGTGGAACAGCGAAGCGGAAACTGCTTTTGACCGTTGCAAAGCCGAATTGTCCGAAGCAACATTGCTCGTGCACCCGGTGTCAGGGGCAGAGTTAGCGTTATATGTAGACGCTTCGGATACAGCCGTCGGGGCTGCCTTACACCAAGTCGTCAACGGAGAACTAGAACCACTCGGGTTCTACTCGAAAAAGTTGACCAGCGCGCAGCGCAAGTATAGCACTTACGACCGAGAATTGACTGCAGCGTACCAGGGTCTATGCCACTTCCGGTACATGATCGAGGGCCGTAAGTGTCACATCGTCACTGATCATCGCCCACTGGTCTACGCCTTCCGACAGAAGTTGGAGAAAGCTTCACCTCGTAGAGTTCGACAACTCGATTTTATAGGCCAATTTACCACCGACTTTCGTCACACGCCTGGTAATCAAAACGCCGCCGCCGACCTGCTGTCACGCATACAATCGATCGACGAGATTATTGACTATGAAAAGATCGCAGCAGCGCAGAAAACCGATACCCATCTGCTAACATTGCTTAACGATTCAGGTACGCATAGTAGTTCGTTAGTACTAAAGCATTTTTCAATTCCCAACAGTAATGCCCGGCTGGTATGCGACACGTCGACCACAAGCATTCGCCCCTAAGTACCACACGAATTCCGAGATGCGCTACTTGCGAAGATACACAACTTATCACACCCAGGCGTCCGCGTAACTACAAACCTGATGACGCAAAGATTTGTGTGGCCCGGCATAAGGAAGGACTCAGCGATATTCGTCCGGAACTGCGAGGCGTGCCAACGATCTAAGATTCATCGACACACCAAATCTTCCTTGGCTCATTACGAAGCGCCAAAAGAACGGTTCTCTCACGTCAACATCGACATCATTGGCCCTTTTCCTCCTTGCGAAGGACAACGTTTTTGCCTCACGATGATCGACAGATACACCCGCTGGCCAGAAGCAGCTCCAATGCCAGATATGTCTGCCGAGTCCGTTGCGAAAGCGTTTATATGCAACTGGGTTTCGAGATTTGGTGTTCCAGCACGTATTTCGTCGGACCAGGGCCGACAATTCGATTCCGCAGTATTCGCCGAGTTAATGAAAGCAATTGGCGCAACCCACCTTCGGACCTCACCATACCATCCGCAGTCAAACGGCATAATTGAAAGATGGCATCGAAGCTTCAAGACTGCTATTTTATGCCACGATCCATCAAGGTGGGTACATCATTTGCCAACAATTTTGCTCGGCCTCCGCGTGGCTTATAAACCTGATATACACGCATGCCCCGCCATGCTCGTTTACGGTTCTGCGTTACGGATTCCCGGCGAATTTTTCCAGGAAACAGGTCCAAAAGAAGTGACGCAAGAGACGGTATCTCAGTTTCGGGCGGCCATGCAGAAACTGCGTCCTACACAGACAGCGCATCATTCGACTCCCAGAGTGTTTGTGTCTCCTGCACTTAATTCGGCTTCTCAGGTATTCGTGCGGAATGATTCGATCCGTCCATCACTCACACATCCGTATGACGGACCGTATCCCGTCGTAAAGCGATCACCAAAATTTTTTAAACTCCTCATACGAGGGAAACACACTAATATAAGCATCGATCGGCTCAAACCCGCATTCTTCGCCAATGACGATTATGAAGGTCCAGGCCACACCACACATCAAGAGAAATCTTCGCTTGCACCGGATCCTATAACGACGAAATCTACCCGCAGTGGGAGGCATATATACATTCCTCTTCGATATAGGTAGTTTCGTCTGGACCGGGAGTACTGTGGCAGCACACCTGCAGCGTGCGGTAACACTATAAATGCCTCAAGCACAAATGCAACTATGCGTCAGATAAATACAGAACATTATAATCTGGCATGACTATCCGCCTTTCTGTCTCTTTTTCGTCCGGATTTCGTGCTGCTAAGTCGTGCTTGCCTAGACACTAATAAAAATACTTAATATTAATAGATTGAACAAATCCTTAGTTAACTTTTAAACCAAAAAAAAAGTTTTGCATATCTTTCTATATCCGTTTTTTCTTCCTTGCGAGTTTGAGAGGGATACTCTATTAAAACCTTATATACATTATACACATTAAGCAACCGTTTGCCAAAAAAAAAAGTAAAAACTATTTAGGTTAGAACGCATACAATTTTGTAATTACGTTATTGCAATCTTTCTTTCAATAATACACTCACTTTTTCATGGTAACTTGCCCTTCTTTTAGTTGATTGCCAAACTGGTATTTAGTTTTAGATATTTGATGCCAAACCGTAGTCATTGTAAAAATGGTTGTACGCAATACCCCGTTTTTCCACATGGTTAATTAATGTCAACGACCATTGTCGGAAATAGCGATGTTAGTGCGTACATCAAAATCGATTACATCGCACAATCGAATACCACAGGCCATTATACCGGTATCCAAGACCAGTCCAGATATTGAGTTTGCGCAAACATTGGTCATACTTATTTGGCACTGTTGACAAACGTAAAATAAAATGTTTGCAGTGCAAAGAGTTAAGAATATTGCTACAAGGCAAAACGACATAGTAGCTTAGCCTCTTAAATATAATTTATGAAGTAATTTATACAATAGGAACATATTTAATTTTATCTATTTTCATCACCTCACTGCACAGAATTCTTGTCAAGTTTTTCATAATTACTCTGCTGAGTATTAGACTTACACTTAAAAGACCTTAAAATGACTCGTTTTATTTTAACTATTAATCAATTTCAATTCGCCCACACGTTTATACCGCAAATCAATTGAAATAAAATTGATGGGCAACTTGTACTGGTAAAGTTGCACAAAAAATTGCCCATCAACTTTTTGTAAAATTGGGCGCAAACTTTTGAGCAACTTGGAGGGCATTTCCTGAAAACTTGGTGGTGAGAATCTTATGTAATCGGCTCAACAATCACATATACAACCCTGCCTACTATCGTTATCGAAATATAATACCACGTATACATAGCCAACCTCTACAACATGTCATTATGCCATGTTCACACCGGTAAATTTATTACAATCAACTACGATTCATTTAAATCAAGGATTAAAACACTAAATACAGATATAGGAATAGGTAGACATTAAATATAAAATATTGCTCGCCAACCCAGACCACGTTCTCAGCAACTCCATAACAAAAATGGAAAATTTCAGAGAATGACTCGCTACAGCTCCATGCGAAAACGAGCGGAGGAAAGTATAATCCGCTATCCACTGACGTGCAGGCTATGCGGAAATAAGCACCCATTACGTCTATGTACACAATTTAGGACCAAGTCACCGGAAGATCGTCTGCGCGAAGTTTTAGTGTATCGATATTGCACCAACTGCCTTTCAGGGTCCCATCGAGCTGCAAATTGTGCCAATCCGGGCTGCTACTTATAGATGGCACAGAAAAGAAGACGCGTCAACAGAGACGGCCAATTCGGTTCCGGCACTGCGACGACGATGATGACAGCGATGCAATTTCCCTTGAAGCGTCTGAGGTCGGAGCGGAGACAACTGCTTTCCGCCTAGACCCAGAGGAGGGGGAAGTGCCACCGTCTGGAGCGGAAACTGTTGCTTTCCGCCCAGACCAGTCATCCGGAAGGCAATCTGTTGCAAGCCCAGACGAGTCCTCTGGAATGGAGTCGAATGCACGCCATCCAGGTACTAGCAGCGGATTGGAACTTCTACGCTATACACCATTTCTGCAACACGAGCTGAGCCAACAGGCTGGATTGGAAACATATGCTTTCCAACCACCGTTTCGTCAGCATCGTCCTCAATATCGACGTCAGCGCAACCGTTCGCAGCANCTCAATATCGACGTCAGCGCACCCGTTCGCAGCAACAATGGAGAGTGGAATCGCATGCATTCCAGCCTCCACATCGACGCAATTTTCGATCCGGTTTAATCCGAGCGGGACCGGAGGCAGCACTGCCCCTTCAATGCCTTACGCCGGTCGCACCCACCGCATTAGTGAAGATCGAAGCAGGAGGGCGACTTCACCTAATCCGAGCGCTTGTCGATCCATGCGCATCAAATTCAATCATCGCCGAAGATCTCGCTCGGGAACTGAGCTTAAATATGACGGCAGTCAACCACCAAAGGGGTTGTTTTATTAAAATGCGCGGCAAGTATGGCAACTCGACGACGGTCAGCACACACGCAGTGTCCGTTCGTGATTACCGCAAGCGTACACCGATTAGCAGCATCGATAGCGTGATTGCCAGTACGTATGCAAATTTAAAATTAGGCGACCCCCAATTCCACATCTCAGCGCCAGTCCGTCTTACACTTGGGGCAGACGTGCATGCTAAGATTCTTCTTGGTGCAATTCCAGCGGGCGCAATCGGACCGCTTCTGGCCCAAAATACGATTTTTGGATGGGTTCTATCGGGCGCATGTTAGTTACCTTGCGTAAAATTACATACTCACTTTTAATTAAGCTTTACATGAATATGAATGAATTATTGAATAATTAAAAGTGCAACTGAAATTTTAAAACAATCACGTTTCCATTTCTTTATGTTTTTATTCATTTATTAGAAACTAGGTATAACGAATGCAGACTGGAATTAAAGATAACGAGTCTCATGTACATGCATAAATATATGTTCAACTGAAAATTTTTATGAAAATTCAAAACACTTTGAAGTATGATGGCTGGAATGAAATCGCTTCGGATGTTGCTTACAGCAAGGGGGGCGGCATGTTTAGGCCTTAAGCCTAAATGTGCCTTTTTTTTGTCCCACCCTAATGCTTAACATTATGTTAACACTGTCGAACGGTTCTGTAAGTGAAATTTCCCTTGACTTAAGAAACAGTTCGACATGTTAACGTTAGAAAACAGAAAAACGGTCACTTACTTCTTTTGCGAGATCGGAAGGAAGAGGATTGTTCCAGCCACCCCACTCCAGCTTATATTCACCAAGCGAATACATATTTTTGCCAAGGTAATCTGAAAAACTAACTACACTTGTATTTATCTCTTTATGAAAATATTTGAATAAAGATTTAATTATTTTATACTAATACCACATTTTCAATTCAATTTTTCCTTACAAACATCGGCGGGAACTTGAATCTTTGTTGCCTATTACGTTCCGCCGGTGTTCAGCAGATATGTTTGAATGAATATTTTATATCTTTTTAAGTATCTTTGGTTAAGATTTGCATTAAAAAATTTTAAATTTTCTTCATGAGAAGAGAATTCTATAAAGAAATTTTGAAAAATTTCAGATACAATTAAAATATAAAATACAAAGGACCCGTTTTAATAAACCTTCCCGGTTTTTCTGCCTTCAGTAGATCAAGAAATCAAAAACCTACCCTTTACTGCAACAACAGCGCACAAGCTCTTCAAAAACTACGGCAAAAACCACCCTAATTGCCTGTTCAACAGCAACCTTTGCGACACTTACAACCTTTCAGTGTAAATGTAACGGGTGATTTTTTTGAGGTTAGGATTTTCATGCATTAGTATTTGACAGATCACGTGGGATTTCAGACATGGTGTCAAAGAGAAAGATGCTCAGTATGCTTTGACATTTCATCATGAATAGACTTACTAACGAGCAACGCTTGCAAATCATTGAATTTTATTACCAAAATCAGTGTTCGGTTCGAAATGTGTTTCGCAAACCCAATTGCTGCGAACGGCGACGAATCGACATTTCACGGTCTTCAGCAACACTCTCAGAAACAGACGCAATATTCTCTTCTGTACGCACTGTACGCATTCGTGTGGTTGGTTTAATGTCCAATAAAGTAAACTGAGTGCGAAACTTGGTCACAATCGCATTAATTGTTTGCTCACTTGGTCGATTATGTAGACCATAAATCGGACGTAAAGCGAACCGAACACTGATTTTGGTAATAAAATTCAATGATTTGCAAGCGTTGCTCGTTAGTAAGTCTATTCATGATGAAATGTCAAAGCATACTGAGCATCTTTCTCTTTGACACCATGTCTGAAATCCCACGTGATCTGTCAAATACTAATGCATGAAAATCCTAACCTCAAAAAAATCACCCGTTACAATATATTGTAAATTTTTTTTTACCACTCGGGAAAAATATTTCAAATCATGATAGTTTAATTTTAGCATTTTTATATGATGAAATGCTTTTTATATTTCCATACTATGTGCGTTTATTAGCGANGCCTATTACGTTCCGCCGGTGTTCAGCAGATATGTTTGAATGAATATTTTATATCTTTTTAAGTATCTTTGGTTAAGATTTGCATTAAAAAATTTTAAATTTTCTTCATGAGAAGAGAATTCTATAAAGAAATTTTGAAAAATTTCAGATACAATTAAAATATAAAATACAAAGGACCCGTTTTAATAAACCTTCCCGGTTTTTCTGCCTTCAGTAGATCAAGAAATCAAAAACCTACCCTTTACTGCAACAACAGCGCACAAGCTCTTCAAAAACTACGGCAAAAACCACCCTAATTGCCTGTTCAACAGCAACCTTTGCGACACTTACAACCTTTCAGTGTAAATGTAACGGGTGATTTTTTTGAGGTTAGGATTTTCATGCATTAGTATTTGACAGNCGAACCGAACACTGATTTTGGTAATAAAATTCAATGATTTGCAAGCGTTGCTCGTTAGTAAGTCTATTCATGATGAAATGTCAAAGCATACTGAGCATCTTTCTCTTTGACACCATGTCTGAAATCCCACGTGATCTGTCAAATACTAATGCATGAAAATCCTAACCTCAAAAAAATCACCCGTTACAATA